TTTTTTATAAATGAACTGTATTTCTTAAGTCAATTATTAAAGTATTACATTGATTTATTCATTTTAAGTATTTGGGATTTTAAGAGCAAGTGGAAAATGTGCTGAATGTTTCTTTTCATCCAAGTGAAATTAGCAAGCAGTTAGACTGAATTTACATTCGTTTTAAACGCGGAGCCAGGCGCGAGTCGACACAGGTTGCGCGCGTGCGTCAAGCCTCATCCATACTGCCAGATGCGCTCGTGAAGACTTGCGGTGCGGAGCCGGGTGCGAGTATAAACGAGCATTACGAGACAGGCTGCGTGAGTGCAGCAAGCATTAACGGCTCGTCCGTGACACGGGATTCGCGCCGCGTGGGGCAGAGAGGAGCGAGTATGAGAAGCATTCACAGACACAGGCTGTGTGTGCGCTCTTCTGAATTGGGAATAGCCAACATGCATTATAAACTTATTTAAAATTAATCTGTTGGGGAGATAAAATGTCTAAGATATGATGTGTGAGGGCTCACGCTCTTCAGAGACAATCACAGAATATGACAGAGCTAGTGTTTTAAAGCGAACCACACTGGAATGAATAATTCACTGAAAACACAAAGCGAGTCTCTGTTCTCTCTGCAATCTTTGATGTAATCAGCCTTGTTTCCTTTATATTAGCGCTGTTTTGGACGAATTGTTTGAATGCATATGATTACTGGATCATTGGACTGAAAACTTTCCCGGAGTTTAGAAGCTTAAAATGATCTGATCCCAAGCAGAGAAGCAAAATTGGGTTAAAGGGTTAGAATGGAAATTGTGCTTCAATAATAGTGTTAATTGCATTAAATTATTTTAACGCGTTAAGGATTGTTAAATTAATTGCATGCGTTAACGTGTTAATGTTGACAGCCCTACTACATATCTAAATAAAAATAGACTATAGATATACAGTATATGATCCAAAGTAACTAGTAACCAACTACTTGAGTAGTTTTTTTATCCGATACTTTTTTACTTCTACTCAAGTAACTATTCAGACTATTACTTTTACTGGAGTAAATATTTCTATAAGTACTTTTACTTGAGTACAGTTTTTGGGTACTCTACCCACCTCTGATAAAGGTGTAGATGTTTGTAAAATTGAACTTAAGTGGTTTCAAAAGAAGTGGTATACTACCTACTGCAGAAGTTGTAGTTTTCGAAGAGACTGTCGAGATTGTAGTAGTTTCTGGATAAGTCGTGCCCAGGAAAACAGTTTCCATATAAGTGAGACTTTTCAGAGCCATTGTGGTTTCAACAGATGTTAAGCCAGGAGTAGTTTCAGATGTGATTGTTCGAGCAGTTGTCATTACTGGTGTGGATATTTCCATAAATTTTCCTGTTGAATTAACAGTTTCAGTAAAAGTGGTGCCTAGGGTTGTAGTTTCTGCAGAATTGGTGCCAAGAGCACCATAGTAGTTTCTGTTTGAGACACTGTGATTTCAACAGCAGACATTAAAGCCAGGCATAGTTATAGCTGAGATTGCTGTTCCAGCAGTTGTCATTACACGTGTGGATGTTTCCAGTATTATAGCTTTTGAACTAAAAGAGGGTGATGTTTCTACAGAAGTGGTGCCAACGGTACTAGTTTCTATTGCAGTGGTACCTGTAGGATATATTTTTGTAGTTTTCAGAGCCATTGTGGACTCAGCAGCAGACTTTAAGAAAGGCATAATTATGTGGTACCAAGGGTAGAAGTTTCTGTAGTAATATCTTCAGAAGTGGTAGTTTGAGCCAATGTGGTTTCTATAGCAGATTGTTCCAACAGTTGTCATTACATGTGTGGATGATCCCAATACTATTCCTGTTGAACTAAAAGATGGTTTTGTTTCAAGCAAAAGTGGTGGCAAGGGTACTAGTGTGTGCACAAGTGGTACCCAGGGAAGTACCTTCTACAAAAGAGGGACCAACGGTGGTTTTTTTTACAGAAGTGGTGCCAAAGGTAGTAGTTTCTACAGTAGTGGTGCCTAATGGTAGTTTGAGCCATTGTGCTTTCAACAGCAGGCGTTAAGACAGGTGTGCCTATAGCTGTAGTTCCTGCTGAACTAATTGAGGGTGTTGTTTCAGCAAAAGTGCTATCAAGCATTATAGTTAATGCAGAAGTAGTGCCCAAGTTAGTACCTTCTACAGATGTAGTACTAAGGGTAGTGCACACGTGGTACCCAGGGAAGTACCTTCTACAAAAGTGGGACCAACGGTGGTTTTTTTTTTTGCAGAACTGGTGCCAAGTGTTGTAGTTTCTGCAGTAGTGGTGCCTAATGGTAGTTTGAGCCATTGTGGCTTCAACAACAGATGTTAAGGCAGGTGTAATTATAGTTGTGCCAAGAGTAGTAGTTTTTGGAAAAGTAGTGCCCAAGGTAGTACTTTCTGCAGAAGTGGTAGTTTTGGTCACTGTGGTTTCATCAACAGATGTTAAGCAAGACAAAGTTAAAGCTGAGGTTGTTTTTCCAGTAGTTGTTATTACTGGTGGGGATGTTGCCAATACTACTGCCTTTGAACTAACTAAGGGTGCAGTTTCTGCAGAAATGGTACCAAATTTAGTACTTTCTGCAGAAGTGGTGCCAAGAGTACTAGTTTCTACAGAAGTGCTACCAAGTGTAGTCATTTCTACAGATGTGGTTTCAAAAGTAGTAATTTCTGCAGAAGTGGTAGTTTGAGTCATCATAATTTCAACAACAGATGTTAATCCAGGTATAGTTATAGCTGAGGTTGTTGTTCCTGCAGTTGTCAGTACAAGCATGGATGTTTCCAATATTCCTGTTGAACTTACAGAGGATGTTGTTTCAGCAGAAGTGGTGCCCAGGGTTGTGCTTTCTGCAGAAGTGGTCCCAAGTGAGGTAGTTCCTGCAGAAGAGGTACCAAAAGTAGCAGTTTCTACAGAAGTGCTGCCAAGTGCAGTACCTTCTACAGGTGTGGGTTCAAGGGCAGTACTTTCTGCAGAAGTGGTAGTTTGAGCCAATGTGGTTTCAGCAGCAGATGTCAAGGCAGGCGTAGTTATGGTTGAGGTTGGTGTTCCAGTAGTTGTCATTAATGGTGTGGATGTTTCCAATACTATTTCCGTTGAACGAACTGAGGTAGTTTCAGTGATGCCAAGGGTAGTAATTTCTGCAGAAGTGGTGCCTAGGGCTGTACATTCTATAGAAATGGCACCAAGTGTAGTAATTTCTGCAGAGGTGGTACACTGAGCCACTGTTGTTTCAACAGCAGACGTTAAGGCAGGCATAGTTATAGTTGAGGTTGTTGTTCCGGCCATTGTCATTCCAAGCGTGGATGTTTCCAATAATTCTGTTGAACTTACAGAGGATGTTGTTTCTGCAGAAGTGGTGCCCAGGGTTGTACTTTCTACAGAAGTGGTGCCAAGTGCAGTAATTTCTACAGACGTGGATCCAAGTGTAGTAATTTCTGCAGAAGTGGTAGTTTGAGCCACTGTGGTTTCAACAGCAGATGTTAAGGCAGGCATAGTCATGCTTGTTGTTCCAGCAGTTGTCGTTACAAGCCAGGATGTTTCGAAGATTCCTGATGAACTTACAGAGGATGTTGTTTCTGCAGAAGTGGTGCCCAGGGTTGTGCTTTCTATAGAAGTGATGCCAAGAGTAGTAGTTTCTGCAGAGGTTGTGCCCAGGGTTGTACTTTCTACAGAAGTGGTGCCAAGTGAGGGAGTTTTTGCAGAAGAGGTGCCCAGAGTACTAGTATCTACAGAAGTACTGCCAAGTGTAGTACTTTCCACAGATGTGATTCCAAGGGTAGTAGTTTCAGCAGAAGTGGTGCCCAGGGTTGTACTTTCCAAGGAAGTGCTGCCAAGTGCAGTAATTTCTACAGATGTGGTTCCAAGTGTAGTAATTTCTGCAGAAGTGGTGCCTAGGGCTGTACATTGTATAGAAGTGGCACCAAGTGTAGTAATTTCTGCAGAGGTGGTACGCTGAGCCACTGTTGTTTCAACAGCAGATAAGGCAGGCATAGTTACAGTTGAGGTTGTTGTTCCGGCTGTTGTCATTTCAAGCGTGGATGTTTCCAATAATTCTGTTGAACTTACAGAGATTGCCGTTTCTGTAGAAGTGGTCCTTAAGCTAGTACTTTCTATATAAGGGGTGCCAAGTGTAGTCGTTTCTGCAGAAGTGGCAATTTGAGCCATTGTAGTTTCAAAAACAGACGTTAATTCGGGTCTAATTATACCTGAGGTTGTTGCTCCAGCAGTTGTTGTAACTGGTGTGGATGTATCCAACACCATCCCTGTTGAGCTAACGGAGGATGTAATTTGAACTGAAGTGGTGCCAAGGGTAGTACTTTCTATAGAAGTGGTGGCAAGTGTAGTAGTTTCAAATGTTCCTGTTGAACTTACAGAGGAATTTGTTTCAGCAGAAGTAGTGCTCAGGGTTGTACTTTCTACAGTAGTGGTGCCAAGTGTAGCAATGTCCACAGAAGTGGTGTCAAGGGTACTAGTTTTGGCAGAAGTGGTGCCCAGGGTTGTACTTTCCACGGAAGTGCTGCCAAGTGTAGTAATTCCTGCAAAAGTGGTAGTTTGAGCCATTGTGGATTCAACCGCAGATGTTGCGGCAGGCGTGGTTATGATTGAGTTTGCCGTTTCTGTAGAAGTGGTCCTTAAGCTAGTACTTTCTATATAAGGGGTGCCAAGTGTAGTCGTTTCTGCAGAAGTGGCAATTTGAGCCATTGTAGTTTCAAAAACAGACGTTAATTCGGGTCTAATTATACCTGAGGTTGTTGCTCCAGCAGTTGTTGTAACTGGTGTGGATGTATCCAACACCATCCCTGTTGAGCTAACGGAGGATGTAATTTGAACTGAAGTGGTGCCAAGGGTAGTACTTTCTATAGAAGTGGTGGCAAGTGTAGTAGTTTCAAATGTTCCTGTTGAACTTACAGAGGAATTTGTTTCAGCAGAAGTAGTGCTCAGGGTTGTACTTTCTACAGTAGTGGTGCCAAGTGTAGCAATGTCCACAGAAGTGGTGTCAAGGGTACTAGTTTTGGCAGAAGTGGTGTCCAAGGTTGTACGGTCTACAGAAGTGGTGCCAAGTGCTGTCATTTTTACAGACATGGTTCCAATTGTAGCCATTTCTGCAGAAATGGTAGATTGACCTTTTGTGGTTTCAGCAGGAGATGTTAAGGCAGGTATAGTTACAGATGAGGTTGTTGCTCCAGCAGTTGTCATTACTGGTGTGGATATTTCCAATATTCTTCCTGTTGAGCGAACTGAGGGTGTACTTCCAGCAGAAATGGTGCCCAGCATAGTATTTTCTATAGATGTGGTTCCAAGTGTAGTAATTTCTGCAGAAGTGGTAGTTTGAGCCATTGTGGTTCCAATAACAGATGTTAAGCCAGGTGTAGTTGTAACTGAAGTTGTTCCAGCAGACGTCAATACTGGTGTAGATGTAACCAATATTTCTGTTGAACTTACAGAGGATGTAGTTTTTATGGAGGTGGTTTTTAAGGTAGTACTTTCTACAGAAGGGGTGTCGATGGCAGTAGTTTCTACAGAAGTGCTGCCAAGTTTAGTAATTTTTGGATCAAAGTACAACTTTGTTGTTCCAGCAGTTGACGGTACTATTGTGGATGTTTCCAACAGTACTCCTGTTAAACTAACTGAGGGTGTAATTTCTGTAATTTCAGTGCCAATAGTGGTACTTTCTACAGAACTGGTGCCAAAGGTAGCAGTTTCTGCAGCAAAGGCAGCAAAGGTAGTGGTTTCTGCAAAAGTGCTGGAAATTGTAGTAACTTCTGTAGTTTCAGCAGAAGTGGTGCCCAGGGTTGTACTTTCCACGGAAGTGCTGCCAAGTGCAGTAATTTCTACAGATGTGGTTCCAAGTGTAGTAATTCCTGCAAAAGTGGTAGTTTGAGCCATTGTGGATTCAACTGCAGATGTTAAGGCAGGCGTGGTTATGATTGAGTTTGGTGTTGCAGCAGTTGTCATTACTGGTGTGGATGTTTCCAATACTGCTGTTGAACTTACAGATGAAGTTGTTTCTGCAGAAGTGGTGCCCACGGTTGTCCTTTCTACAGAAGTGGTGCCAAGGGTAGTAGTTTCTGTAGAAGTGGAGCCAAGGGTAGTAGTTTCTGTAAAAGAGGCAGTTTGAGCCATTGTGGTTTCAACTGCAGACGTTGAGGAAGGCATAGTTGCTGTTGTTCCAGCAGTTGCCATTACAAGCGTGGATGTTTCCAAGATTCCTGTTGAACTTACAGAGGATGTTGTTTCTGCAGAAGTGGTGCCCAGAGTTGTACTATCTACAGAATTGGTAGTAGTTTCTGCAGAAGTGGTAGTTTGAGCTATTGTGGTTTCAACAGAAGATGTTAAGGCAGACGTAGTTATGGTTGACGGTGTTGTTCCAGCAGTTGTCGTTACAAGCCAGGATGTTTCCAAGATTCCTGTTGAACTAACAGAGGATGTTGTTTCTGCAGAAGTGGTGCCCAGGGTTGTGCTTTCTATAGAAGTGATGCCAAGAGTAGTAGTTTCTGCAGAGGTTGTGCCCAGGGTTGTACTTTCTACAGTAGTGGTGCCAAGTGTAGCAATGTCCACAGAAGTGGTGTCAAGGGTACTAGTTTTGGCAGAAGTGGTGTCCAAGGTTGTACGGTCTACAGAAGTGGTGCCAAGTGCTCAGAAGAGGTGCCCAGAGTACTAGTATCTACAGAAGTACTGCCAAGTGTAGTACTTTCCACAGATGTGATTCCAAGGGTAGTCATTTCTACAGAAATGGTGCCAAGTGTAGCAGTTTCTGCAGCAAAGGAGCCAAGGAAAGTGGTTTCTGCAAAAGTGCTGGAAATTGTAGTAACTTCTGTAGTTTCAGCAGAAGTGGTGCCCAGGGTTGTACTTTCCACGGAAGTGCTGCCAAGTGCAGTAATTTCTACAGATGTGGTTCCAAGTGTAGTAATTCCTGCAAAAGTGGTAGTTTGAGCCATTGTGGATTCAACTGCAGATGTTAAGGCAGGCGTGGTTATGATTGAGTTTGGTGTTGCAGCAGTAGAAGTGGTGCCTAGGGCTGTACATTGTATAGAAGTGGCACCAAGTGTAGTAATTTCTGCAGAGGTGGTACGCTGAGCCACTCTTGTTTCAACAGCAGATAAGGCAGGCATAGTTACAGATGAGGTTGTTGTTCCGGCCGTTGTCATTTCAAGCGTGGCTGTTTCCAATAATTCTGTTGAACTTACAGAGATTGCCGTTTCTGTAGAAGTGGTCCTTAAGCTAGTACTTTCTATATAAGGGGTGCCAAGTGTAGTCGTTTCTGCAGAAGTGGCAATTTGAGCCATTGTAGATTCAACTGCAGATGTTAATTCGGGTCTAATTATACCTGAGGTTGTTGCTCCAGCAGTTGTTGTAACTGGTGTGGATGTATCCAACACCATCCCTGTTGAGCTAACGGAGGATGTAATTTGAACTGAAGTGGTGCCAAGGGTAGTACTTTCTATAGAAGTGGTGGCAAGTGTAGTAGTTTCAAATGTTCCTGTTGAACTTACAGAGGAATTTGTTTCAGCAGAAGTAGTGCTCAGGGTTGTACTTTCTACAGTAGTGGTGCCAAGTGTAGCAATGTCCACAGAAGTGGTGTCAAGGGTACTAGTTTTGGCAGAAGTGGTGTCCAAGGTTGTACTGTCTACAGAAGTGGTGCCAAGTGCTGTCATTTTTACAGACATGGTTCCAATTGTAGCAATTTCTGCAGAAATGGTAGATTGACCTTTTGTGGTTTCAGCAGGAGATGTTAAGGCAGGTATAGTTACAGATGAGGTTGTTGCTCCAGCAGTTGTCATTACTGGTGTGGATATTTCCAATATTCTTCCTGTTGAGCGAACTGAGGGTGTACTTCCAGCAGAAATGGTGCCCAGCATAGTATTTTCTATAGATGTGGTTCCAAGTGTAGTAATTTCTGCAGAAGTGGTAGTTTGAGCCATTGTGGTTCCAATAACATATGTTAAGCCAGGTGTAGTTGTAACTGAAGTTGTTCCAGCAGACGTCAATACTGGTGTAGATGTAACCAATATTTCTGTTGAACTTACAGAGGATGTAGTTTTTATGGAGGTGGTTTTTAAGGTAGTACTTTCTACAGAAGGGGTGTCGATGGCAGTAGTTTCTACAGAAGTGCTGCCAAGTTTAGTAATTTTTGGATCAAAGTACAACTTTGTTGTTCCAGCAGTTGACGGTACTATTGTGGATGTTTCCAACAGTACTCCTGTTAAACTAACTGAGGGTGTAATTTCAGCAGAAGTGGTGCCAATAGTGGTACTTTCTACAGAACTGGTGCCAAGTGAGGGAGTTTTTGCAGAAGAGGTGCCCAGAGTACTAGTATCTACAGAAGTACTGCCAAGTGTAGTACTTTCCACAGATGTGGTTCCAAGTGCAGTAATTTCTACAGATGTGGTTCCAAGTGTAGTAATTCCTGCAAAAGTGGTAGTTTGAGCCATTGTAGGGTAGTAGTTTCTGTAGAAGTGGAGCCAAGGGTAGTAGTTTCTGTAAAAGAGGCAGTTTGAGCCATTGTGGTTTCAACTGCAGACGTTGAGGAAGGCATAGTTGCTGTTGTTCCAGCAGTTGTCATTACAAGCGTGGATGTTTCCAATATTCCTGTTGAACTTGCAGAGGATGTTTTTTCTGCAGAAGTGGCACCAAGGGTTGTGCTTTCTACAGAAGGTGTGACAAGGGTAGTAGTTTTTGTAGAGGTTATGCTCACGGTTGTACTTTCTACAGAAGAGGTGCCAAGTGAGGTACTTGCTGCAGAAGTAGAGCCAATGGTAGTCGTTTCTGCAGAAGTCGTTCCCAGGGTTTTGCTTTCTACAGAAGTGGTGGCAAGGGTAGTAGTTTCCACAGCAGTGGTTTCCAGGGTTGTTCTTTCTTCAGAAGTCGTAGTCATTTCTGCAGAAATTATGCCAAGTGTAGTAGTTTCTGCAGAAGTGGTGCCCAGGGTTGTACTTTCTACAGAAGTGGTGCCAAGGGTAGTACTTCCAACAGAAGTGGAGCCAAGTGCAGTAATTTCTGAAAAAGGTGTAGTTTGAGCCATTGTGGTTTTGACTGCAGATGTTGAGCCAGGCGTAGCTGCTGTTGTTCCAGCAGTTGTTAGAAGCGATGTTTTCAAGATTCCTGTTGAACTTGCAGAGGATGTTTTTTCTGCAGAAGTCATGCCTATGGTTGTACTTTCTACAGAAGTGGTGCCAAGTAAGGTACTTGCTGCAGAAGTGGTGTCAAAGGTAGTAGTTTCTGCAGGAGTGGTAGTTTGAGCCATTGTGGTTTCAACTGGAGATGTTGAGGCAGGCGTAGTTGCTGTTGTTCCAGCAGTTGTTGTTACAAGTGTGGATGTTTCCAATATTCCTGTTGAACTTGCAGAGGATGTTTTTTCTGCAGAAGTGGCACCAAGGGTTGGGCTTTCTACAGAAGGGGTGACAAGGGTAGTAGTTTTTGTAGAGGTTATGTTCACGGTTGTACTTTCTACAGAAGAGGTGCCAAGTGAGGTACTTGCTGCAGAAGTAGAGCCAAGGGTAGTTGTTTCTGCAGAAGTGGTGCCCAGGGTTGTGCTTTCTACAGAAGTGGTAGTAGTTTCTGCAGAAGTGGTGCCCAGGGTTGTGCTTTCTACAGAATTGGTAGTAGTTTCTGCAGAAGTGATGCCAAGGGTAGTAGTGTCTGCAGAAGTCGTGCCCAGGGTTGTGCTTTCTACAGAAGTGGTAGTAGTTTCCGCAGAAGTGATGCCAAGGGTAGTAGTGTCTGCAGAAGTTGTGCCCAGGGTTGTGCTTTCTACAGAAGTGGTAGTAGTTTCTGCAGAAGTGATGCCAAGGTTAGTAGTTTCTTCAGCAGTTGTGGCAAGGGTATTAGTCTCTGTGGTAGTTTTAGCCATTGCGGTTTCAACCGCAAACGTTACGGCAGGTGATGGCTCAGGTGAGACTGTTGCTCCAACAGTTGTCATTACATTTGTGGATGCTCCTAAAATATTTACTGTTGAACTAATGGAGGGCATTATTTCAGCAGTATTAGTTCTCGGAGAAGTAGTTTCTATGGAAGTGATGTCTGGAAAAGTAGTTTCAGCAGAAGTAGTTTTCAGAGCTATTGTGGTTCCAGCAGCAGATGTTAAAGAGGGCATGGTTTCAGGTAAGGTTGTTGCTCCAGCAGCTGTCATAACAGGTGTGTATGTTTTCAATACAATTTCTGTTGAGCTAACCGAGTGAGCTGTTTCTGCAGAATTCAAAGGAGTCAATGGTATATCTGAGAAACCCCATTCATAGTTATGTCTTGTGCTTTTCAATGTAGTCTGGCCTGTTTGTGTGGGAGTACTTGATGAAAGTGTTCTTTGGGTAGTTTTAAGAGTTTTTTCAAATTCCCCACATGGAACAGTGGGTTTGACATTAAAGTCTGGAAGGTCAAAATCTGTCCCAAACTCTGCATCAACAACAGATGTTACAATTTTGGTGATCCTGTCTGGTTGTGTAGCTGCACTTGAGGATTCCCCTTCTTTGGTTGTACCAAGAGTTATATTTGGTGGCCTGAAGGGATCCGTGTTTGTCCATGAAGTGGGGTGTGGATATATAGGTGTGCTGGATGGAAGTGTCCTTTGGGTAGTTTTAGGGGTTTCTTCAAATTCCCCACATGGAACAGTGGGTTTGACATTAAAGTCTGGAAGGACAAAATCTGTCCCAAACTCTGCATCAACAACAGAAGTTACAATTTTGGTGATTCCACTTGACTGTGTAGCAGCACTTGATGTTTCTGCTTTCTGGGTTGTACCAAGAGTTATCTCAGGTGACCTAAAGGGATTTGCGTTTGTCCATGTAGTGGGGTTTGAAAATGTAGATGTGCTGGATGCAAGTATCATTTGGGTTGTTTTAGGTGTTTTTTCAAATTCCCCACAAGGAACAGTGGGTTTGACATTAAAGTCCAAAAGACCAAAATCTGCCCCAACAGTAGGTATTGAATCATATTCCCGAATAAAATCAAAAGGGTCTTGTCTTCGTTTTCTGATGTCCTTTTTAAACGTCTGTTGAACACAGGACAACATGACTGTCTGCAATTTTCCAGTCACATCAAGATAATCCAGCTGGAGAATACCATCCTCACCATCCTGGCAAAATCAATACATTGTCAAATTTAAGAGGCAACAAAAACATGGCAGCAAAACTTGATTATACATTGTACAGGTCTTACCTCGACTGCGGAGCGTTTCAATTTGACTAACACAGTATGGTGACTTTTCCAAAGGACTGCACGAGGCAATTGCCTAGACATACCTTGAGAACAGAAGTAGATGGATAGAATTTTCCTGGTTGTAAATATTGTTTCAAAATGGTTACCAGTTTACATCTGTTCTTTGTATTATTATTAGTGCCGTCAATAGATTAAAAAAAAGGAATAATTTTTTTCTGAAATTAATCGTGATTAATCCCACCTAACATTAAAGTTTGTAAATATACTTTTATATTGCAATAATTTCACATTCAATCTTCAAATTAATGTAGAATCAACAAAGACAGTATATTTTTAATATTTGTTTAATGGCATCTTTATGACTGAAGGTGAGATTCACTGATACCAACAATACTGATGTCTCTATGAAAGTTTTTTCCTATTTAACCATTGACTATAGCCATTCAACATAACAGTATAATTGAGAGCTATCAATTTTAACATTTATTCGATTTGAAAAAACTAATTTACGTGAACTTAAAACGGTCTTCACATAAACCCACAAAAATAAAATGTCATAATTAGCTACCTGTGCCCTTCAGCAAGTAGGAAATACACAGAAACTGATTAAAGTTATCAAACACTAAATTCTAAATTAAATATAGATAGATCAAAGCTACAAAAGTTATTGATTTCCTCTTTTTTTCTTTTGTTCTTTGATTAACAGACATCACAGCAGCTGGGTTATTAGGTTATTTTGGTTGCTATTACTTTAAGATCATTTGCTGATCATTATGCGGATCTGACATGCATTGTATTTTCTCACTACTCTTTAACTCTCCTGACCCACTTCAGATCTTAAAGTCTCCAGTAATGAGTTGATGAGTTGAATCAGGTGTGTCAGATGAGGGAGACAGTGCTGGGATACACAATGACAGTTGTGAAAGCCACTGCATTTCAGAGACATGTTCTTAAATGTGACTCATATTTAACAAATACTTAAATGCATGCACCGTTTTAACACCGCTTTAATCATCTTCATGACTTAACTGACAAAACTACAACAGTGCATGCTCGTAGTTTCTTTTGCGCTTTAATATGAAACACACAGCACGTGCCACCCCATTTGTACACGCAATTGAAGCACACATGCTATGAGCACAGTATAACGGCTGACAGGACAGGAAAATTAGTTTTTACTGACATATGGCCCGACAACATATCACTGTTGTTCAATGTTGTTCTACTGAAGCTTCATGAATATAGAATAAAATTGCTATAGTCCAAAATTAGTGGTGTAACTACCTTATACATAAGTACTTATCAATAAGTACTCACCCAAAACTTTAACACTTTTAATCCTCTTGGCTGGTAATTTTACAATCACAAATGGCTTTCCACAGATAACTTCAGGTGATTCTTCTGTAGAAGGTGCATCATGTGGCAGGATGGCAGCATGACAGGTGGCAATGCCAGATAAACTCTTCATTTGAAGGTGATCAAAGTAAAGTACTCCTACAGAGTAGTACATCCTTCTGTCTCGAGTCTGAGGAATTAAATGGACAGTTTCACTTTCATTATGGCAGGTGTAGCAGGTGTTGATTATAAATTGGTTTATTGTAAATTCACTCAGGCAATACACAAAATTGGCAATAGCTGATGAACTGAGAAACGAACACACATTAGGTTTCTGTGAATTGTGGGGACTTTCCAGATTCTATTGTTTTCATAATGACCAAACAATATTTTCTATCCCCTAACACTAAACCTACTCCTTACAGAAAAATTGTTTGCATTGTTACACTTTTAGATAAACATCTAGTATTTAAATTTTTTTTCCCCTCATGGGGACTGTATGCAAACCCCATAATGTTGGAAATTATGCCCATCTAGACTTGTGCCGGTATTCGGTAATGCGATACATCACGGTAATGAATATGCACGATATTGTTATCATGGGCACTTCTAAATACCGTGATGCCCATTAATTCGATTTTTTCCCCAAAAAAATCCTGATCACAACAGGCCGAATTCATAATTCATATTATACATATTTTAGCTATATATGTGCATGGGTCAATGACGTGACGCCTAAATTTTCTGTTCGATTGCATTTTTTCAGTTAAAAATTGGATTAAATCCATAAAAAGATGCCATATATATTACGTACCTCTCCCATGTATGTACTCGCTTAAGCTTTTCAAAAACCATTAGGCTATTTGTAACTATTCTGTTATTCAAAGTGTCAAAATATCATGTGGTGCGACCTTCCGGCCATAACTTTTGTTTTGGAAACATCTTTGAAATTACCCTAAATTTATTCAGATTAATTTTCTGCACTATTTGGCATGATTTCCAAAGAGTTTTGCAGTCCTGTATATTATTGCAAAGCATTTGTATTTATATTTTCCATCATAATATACAAAAACTTTGTCCAATAATGTCCATTTTATGAAATATCATGTGGTGCGACCATAAAGAAACTACCATTTTGGGACTTTTATGTTTGAAATCCATTCAAAGATAGGACTTTGCATCATATACCAATTTGCCAAGGACCCATGGAAGCATCAAGCAGGTTTGTAACTATCGTTCAAATTTGGAAAAAAAAAAAAAACCTTTTTAACAGCTGGTATAGTAGGTGGACAACCAAAAGACTCTTACCGCTGCCGCAGGGCCACGGCTTTAACTGCAAGTCAGTCGCGCGTTCCAAGTCGTTCACAAAACTACCGCCAGGTGGCGCAAAGGGACAAGTTGCAAACTGACTGGAATTATGATTTTGTTTTTGTAAACTGAGATCAAATAACAAATTAAAACAATAACATTATAATATAACATTATAACATCCTTAAAAATCATTAGAAAATTTATAGTGAGGGTTAATTTCAAAACGTGGGATAGTCGTAGGCTGCAGCCTAAAGCATCAAAAATGTAAAAAAAGAATGAAAGAAATTTACACAAAGGCTCTTACTGCGTGTTATGGTTATTAAACAGTCATTATGAAAATCATAAAAATTACACTATTTCCTTGTAGGCGCCAGGGTTTTTTGGAAAAAATGCTGGATTTTGACATCAAGATTTCAAAAACTTGTGGCTTGAAAGGGCTTAAAGATAGAGATCTACTGTAAATTGGAAAAATGTTGGGCATGACCGAAAGTTTATGTGGGGGGTAAATATACTCGTCTAATTTGCATATTATGACGTCATCAGGGTCAACTGCGTAAACCATCTTGAATTTCATAATATTCATGAAATAGTAGATATTGAATTGATGTTTGAACTTATTTGCATGTTTTTTAAAAATCTTTTTATCCTCATTCCAAATGATCAGAAAAGAGGAAACCAACAAGAACACTCGCGCCTTGCAAGGCGGCACCATTGCGCTGCAAAGATGTACCGGGAGAAGCGCGATTAAACGACCGATCGTCATTTCCAAAAGGCAAATATTCCCCTTCAGAGTCAGAATCGGCGAATAACATTTGCAACATCCTCACGGTACAACTTTTTATTAGCCATTTGGCGATTTTCTCACAAATCTTCTCAGACGCTCTGAACTTAACTGCTTCCGCATCAATGACACGATAGCTCACTTGCTCTGCTATTTGCTCGAACACTTTGAATAGGAACATGACGTCATTTTGGTCTAGAATCGAAGTACTACATGTCTGCCATCTAATGGTAGGGAATACAAATTAGATATTTCACCATATTAGGATCTACAGCCTATTTTATTAAGTATGACGTCTTGTCGCAATTTTGCGACTTTGGCGCTTAGAGGGTTAAGGATCTTTCATTTCAATCTACAGGCTAATGAGAATTTTTGAATGAAAAACCCTGACCTTGGCCGCTGCACGTTCATGAGACTATTCGCGTCACAATTTACTCACACACAAAAAAAAAAAGTTGAGAAAAAGATTAACAGGCTAAAACTGCGACATGAAAAATGCCTAGAAATCCTACAAAAAATAGAATATTAACTTGGAATGTTTAGATTACATTTAAGGAGGTGTGCATTATGCCATAAATAAAACGACAGAAAAGGTGGCTTATTGTTGAATTTTATAGGCTAGGCCTAGTTCGAACACAGGGAAGTCGTGGCCTAATGGTTAGAGAGTCGTAACCCAAAGGTTGCGGGTTCGAGTCTCGTACCGGCAGGGATTGTAGGTGGTGGGGAGTGAATGTACAGCGCTCTCTTCCACCTTCAGGACCATGACTGAG